TCACCCTCGACCCACCACAACATTACACACTAGTCTCTTTCTCGCTGTCTTTTTTTATTATTATTTTTTTCCCTTCCCTCCCGGCCGAAAAGAATGAACCCAAAAGCAAGACCTTCCGTCTGCGTCCATTTTGACATCAGTACCCCATCTTATTCATGCAAACCCCATGCCAAGGCTTCCGTGTGTTTGTCAGGACTGCAGGCGGCAGGCCGCTGCTCAAAGGGGATGGACAAGAAAGCAATTGATGGAGTAGAAACAAACGTAGATGTCGGATCTCGCTTCCACACATCCACACGAGCGACATGTCATCACTCCAGGCCATGATGTGTGGGATCCGTCTCCTCTCGTCCGATAACTGGACAAATGATTTCACATCGCATGCTATTTGCGATTCGGGAGGCTCATGAATAACCAGGCAGAGTGGCTTGGCCCCTTATACCGGTTAGGCCATCACTTGGGTTGGCTTTGGTAACGGATGACAACAGGGTTCTGGAGATGACAATGCAATCACCCAAACATCCTGGCCATCTCTTCATATTATTGATGGTTCTACAACTGAAATACCATTTTGATCTACTACTCGGCGACGGCGGCGGCGGCGGCGGCGAACAGGCTGGATTGGATAATTCTGATGATTCGCCGCGGCGGCCGTAACTCTATTCCCCTTTGTGGGTTATGGGTTTGGGATCGGGTATCCAATGGGAAGGGGCTAGGTGTAGTGTTTGAGGCTCAGCGTCACTTCGCTGCCTTTTGGGCCCTGTATTATGCTGTGGGCCCCGGCTGGCCCCCAATTTGCTCCCCAGCGTCCACTCCCCATGGGAGGTGCCGTTTGCGGGCGCGTCTGGGCCAAGTAATTTGAATTATACCATCGACCATGCGTGCTTGCCTGCGGGTAACTCTCTTCAACTGCCGTGCATGTATGCAACGTCTCAAGAAGGGGGGCATGATCAGTAGGTCCTCGATTGATACTTTCGGTCAATCGTACCCAGTCTCATTCTAGCTTGGAAACATCCCCCCAAGCGGATTGGCCGGGGGGACTTGATTTAGATGAAAAGGGTGGTAGCCAACGGTCGGCCCAGGAGGTTGCAGGCAGTAGAGCCAAATTGAGTGTTCTGTTGAGCAGGCGCGGCGGTGTAAAGAGATGGACAGGTAGGCAGTGATGAGAGCGTGGGTGTGCGAAGTAGCCGTGGCTGGACGGGTGAGCAACCAGGCTCTCTCAACTATCACTTTCTGCTTCCGGCAAGCCGGAGTAGGACGTCGCTAGACAGAGAAGGATCCCAACTGCTTGAGGTACCTTGGTGCCTCGCCATGTATAATCTTGTAGAGCGGGACAGAACTAGCTCGGTTATTAATCAAGGGCATGAACCGCGGTAGAAGAAACCAAATCGGTCCATGCCAAGCATCGGGAAACGCTAACCATCGATACCGTGCGGGCAGCATGTAAAATGCTCTGGATGGGAAGACAAATGAATGAATGGGTTGAAATGATAGGGCGATAAGGCCAGTAGTGCACTGATTACGTCTCCTCGTTAAGCCGTTCGTAACCCAACTGATGATCGCTGAGAGGGAGAATGGTAGCACATGTTGAAATGGCCCACCCACCTGTTTCTTTGATGGCAAGGAAACGGCATCACTGCAGGTCGGGGACTTTAGACCTCTGAAGTGCCGCATCATTGTCACATGGCGTTTGCGGCGATCTGTAAGTCAAGCTACCTTTCACTAGCATACAATCAGTGTTGATCCGACATTGGTGCCATCGCAAGGCGAGCTTGAGTGCTGATCCGCTACGCTAGTGTGCAGACATGGTCTGGGAATGTGAAGGGTTAATTGGACATCATTACCTCAGCGGGCTCTTATGTGAAGGGCCTCGAAAAGGACTAGTGATCCCGTGGTACGAATACATCTCAAGGCATTGAGTAGCCTTTCTAACCGGGTTCTAGCGCGTTTGAATCTGGGGTACTGCGTTGGAGAAAGGATGAGGAAGATCCGGAGGAGGGAACCGACGAGGCAATGACAAATCATGCGCTTGTGTGTAATTAATGGAGGACGTGGAGCGATTGCACATCTGAGAAACAATGCCAAGGTCGAATGCCTGGGGAAGATGCTTTCGAAACATGGGGACACTTTGCTTCGCACAGATAGGGTGGAAGAGCACGATGACGGGCCTACTATAGTAGTCTGTATGTTGCTGAATGGGATGCGCGAATAGGGGACATATGACGCCAGGAAAGGCTGGCCTTAGCAGGTCACGATCCGCATGGTTGTTGCTTGCTTTCGCATGGGTGCAGACGCTCCCGAGAGAAGCCGCTTCGCCTCACTTCAACTTATGGACAACAACAAAATTGTACCAAAGAGCACCAGCCAGCGGTCAACAGGCAGTTGCAGCATGGCCATGCTATCCATGTCCATCAAGCGGCCGCTGGAAAGGGGGTTAGCAGGTCGGATGTTTCTCTCAAGGTGGGCCGGGAGAGTGACACAGTGGATACGGTGGTGCGACGTGTGACGCTAACGGAAGGTGAGAATCCAGCGAGGGAATGATAAGTCACTTCTGCTCCGTTAGAGCTCCGTCACAAGAGAAGAGGGGGAAACTGGGGCGGACCTGGATTCTGGCGTTTTTCTTTTCTTTATTTCTTGCTTTTGCTCTCGTGATATCGCGCAGTGTCTTGCTGCGCCATGATTGATTCATGGCCTACGGGCGAGCTGAGTAGGCTGATGGCAGGTAGCCGGGAGCCACGACAATGATGAGACGCTGGAGACGGAGAGATGACCGACGGAGGAAAAATTGATTGCATTGCATTATTGGGCAAAATTGCAAGCATTGAGAAAGCGGAAGAAACGATTAAATGGCGTGCGCACGGGTAGTGTCGAATGTGTCAAAGCTGAGTAGAGGACCGTAACCCTGGGACGACGATGGGTATGAGAAGGAAGCAAATTCGAAAGACAGCCCCTTCTGTATCCGTACTTCTCCGTACCAAGTGCCACTAAGACCTGAGTGTAGGCTGATGGCATCCCAAGTCCAGTCCGTGACATCAAATTACGCCATTGGCACGCTTTGCGAGGAGCGCCCGTCAATGTGTCACACCCACGCCGCCCGACACCACTGATGGATGAGGACGGAGCATAGCGGATGAGATGGAGATGGGACGGAGGAGAGGAGAATTTTGTGGATGACTACAGAGCACGCAGCTTTGGATTGGATGTTGCAGGCATTAATGGGGGGAGCCGGGCATGGGGCCAAGGGAGGGGAAGCGGCAACCGGCACCATGCCCTGTCACAATTAACGGTTGTTGCTCTCTTTGGTGAGACGGGCGGCGCGCAAAGAACTAATGAGCATGACGCATATCGATAGAAGTGGGAATGCTCAGTGACAACCCGTGCATTGTTGCAGTACGGAGTGCTGGTGAGAAACAGATCCAGATAGCTCTGTTTACACAGGATACAGGAAACACGGTCCCTTTGATTGGGGATGGCATAAAAATTACAACACGGATTCTGCAGAAAACGGACAAAAACGGCCATTCATAGCGCCAGAATCATTCTTGAGAGAGGTAGAAAGGGAAGTTAGGAAGGTCAGCTGGCTCCAAAGCTAGGAAACGTATTTTGAACGGGGGGGATTAAGGAAGGAGGAGAAAAAAAAAAATTAAACGAAAGAAGACACTAGACAGGGAACAAGACGAGCCAGACCGCGACCTAGACCACTATGACCCAGCCCAGCTCCATTGATCCCGTCATCCCTCAACCCTCAGTACCTCATCATCTCTCACAGGCGGCCCTGACCCTGACCCCTACCCTTACCCCTAGGTGTGTGGTAGGGGCCCCTGGCTCTCATTCCTTCCACCCCTTCTTCGAAATGTTCCATGGCTTCCATCTCCCATCTCTACTTTTTATGTTGGCTTTCCCCAAATGGGAACCATCAGCACACTTAGCGCCGCTATTGGCCCGCTCGACCCTCTGTCGAAGCCTTCTAGCGCGCTCTAGTGCGTGTTCCACTCACACCTTTTGGGCTTTTGTCCCAGAAAGGCTCCACCCCATCCTGCTGTGCTGTCACGGCCTGTGTAGCCTTCCATTTTCTCCCGCTCTCTTTTCCCCATCATCCCTCTGTCTGTCTGTCTGTCTGTCTGTCTCCTCTGCGCCCTTCGTTCGACTTATTCCCTTCCCATCCAAATCTTTGCGAGTGGTCTTCTGGCTGCTGCTGCTGCTGGGCCTACAAGGCCCTTGATTGCTACTCATACCTTCCCCCGTCCATCAATCGTGGCTCCCCGGCTCCCCTGTTGCCAATGAGGGTCGGTCAGAAAGGGGGTTTAGGCCCCTGCGATAATGCAACTCCACGCAATGACTGGGCAAAAGAGGAAAGGTTTATGTTTAGGTACTTGAAGACGGGAGGTACTCGGCTTCCTTAGCAAGCCGAAAGTCCCGCCTTCTGCTGGTAGAAAGGTCTTCACAGCCCAACCGCAGCCAAATCCCTCCCCCCGCCTCCGTGCCACTCTGTTGTTGCAAGAGCAACGCGTCACTTGTTAGTCACTACTTACCTCCACAGGTATCCGCTTCGGTTGTCTGTTTGCCTGCTTGTTTAGCGAGCGACTGGTCCCCAGTTACGAGTGTCTCTTGTTCAAGAGAGATTTTCAGCCATAGAGGTCTGATGTACATACAAACAGTTGGAGATAATCCATGATCAGTGGGTATCATTGGGCGCCCTTTGAGCCTCGTGCTTCCCGACAATGATGTGCCTCTGCCCTCTCCCTCTTCCTTCCCTCTCCTACCACCCATCCTCCTGCCTCGTCTTGTCTCCTTTACCCGATGGACCCCTGTGCAACCTGCGCGCAGGCTGTAGGCATTTCCGTACAGGGTGGGTCGGTGCCTTGATGCCGTGGCTCGCTCCCTGAGTGGATGCTCAACAACAGTGTCGCCACAACCGCACATCGCTGGCTCCCACCGGGTTTGTCCCGTGTTCAGAGACCTTCTCCCTCACTCCCTGGCGGGGACCATTCTACTTCACCACCTCATAATCGTAGCCCGCCAATGGCTTCCCACCTCTGCCAGGCCAACCCTGCCAGCGTGTCTTGCCCTGTCCGGCGCGCCGTCCGTCGCCAGGCCCCCTCCAACAGGACAGAGCGATTGTAGGGACTGGGGACCTCCTGGATGTGCTGCTGTTGCTTGTCACTGGTCTGGTCTGGTACTGGTGGATGAGGAATGCGCATGGATGGCATGGGGATGTAGTGAAGGATGGATCTGATTTGATGTACACCCTTCCCTGTTAACGATACCCACCCGGTCAATGTACCGATGAGGTGAGGCGAGGCGGATACGTACCTCGCTTTTGAGTCCTTCGATGGTTTGCTAATGGCCCGCGCTAAGGTGAAGGTTCCTCAGGTACCCATACCCAGCTACGGAGCACTCCCTCGCCTGATGGCCCCATCAGGTGTACTTACGCCTGCCATCCCTTGCCTTACAGTACGGTACGGCCGCCGCCGCCTGCAAGTACGGATACCTGGGCAAAATACCTCCTTCGACTGAGGCAGGATGGCTATGGGGGATCTGGGACGCTTTTAGCTACCTCATGTCCTCTCCTCTTACCCATTCCCATCATTCCTACCGTTAATGCTTCACCTTCCCTCCTCTTCTCAACACTACCGATTCCGCTTAACATCTATAGCATTTCTTTCTTTTTCTTTCTTCCTCTCCCTCAAAGATATACCGCTTGATTCCGTCCTCGACGCCCGTCCACTTTGTGATACCCCCATAGAGAAAACGATACCCGTCCCGCCGAACCTCGCCGCCGTCATCGCCGTAACTCGCACCAACCCACAACCGCCGCCGTCCCTCTCTCATAACGCGCCTCCGCACTCAGATCACTCGTTCGCCAACGCATATTCACTCCTCCCCGTATCAAGTACTATCTCTCCGATCGCCCATTCGTTCTGCACCAAATCAAGAGAGACTCGACCGTCACTGCATCGCAAAGTTTCCTTGGATCAGCATTTCCCAAGCCCCCAAAACCAGCTAGAAAGACGTCACATTACCATTCTGCAAGCCACGAACTACCAAGGTTCAGTCTCGTATCGTAACCGTCTCTCAACCTAGAGAGTGTAAACGTCTACAGGCGAACGCGTGGCTTGGTCGCATTCTGCATAGATCTCCCCAAGCATTCTACCCTTTGGCTACCTTGGTAGTTTGGCGCATTACTCCTGGCGACTCAGTGTTGTCCACGGCTTTCTGCAACCAGCTTTCTACTCGCCTGTTGCCGATTGCGACGAGTCAATTCCATTCCCGTCACCAAGACACTTCTAGCGTCCCCAGCGCTGTCTTAGTGCAAGCCTCGTTTGAAGACCACCCCAAAGCACTACCCTTATCTGCAACGTTCCCTGGGCTATTTACCTCTCGTGGACCCCGTTCGCTCCAGCGCGTCAGTTTTCCTTGCCATAGCTACCTTCATCCTCCTGGTTCGACGCCTCACCTCAACAGCCGTACAACCAGACGACCAACCAACATCCACAGACACCATCGAGCCTGCGAGTGACGAGTGAGAAGGAAACCAAAGCTGGTGCTCGTTGGATCTTGAGGAGACTTCCGACAGTTTAGGGCGACGATTTTAGACCATACACAAACGACAATCGATCAAACCGGCGGCCGTCTATGGGGTCTCAAATGCTAGTCTAGGCGTTTTAGACTGCCATATATCATTGAGCTCTCTGCCCACTGCTTCTCGAAGAGTTGCACATTTGGCACCCTTCTTTCTCTTCCAGAAAAATCGGTGTGGAAATGAAAAGGTCCAGGATACGAAGGCATTCCCCCATCTACCTGAGTCCATCACCATCGCCCGAGAGGGAGTTATCACCACCCGGTCCGGCTTCAAGTACGGGCTGGGAAACCGCCAGAGTTATGTCAAGATCTAGGCCCACCAGCGGGGCCTTGCTGCCAGGCGCCGTTATACTCACACCACCTTCACTTTCGGAGATTCTCTCCAACACTTCCTCTCCGCCATGGACATTAGCTGCTTTCATGGCCTACCTTTCCCAGAACCACTGCCTGGAAACACTCGAATTTACCATGGACGCCGAGCGATACCGAAAGGCCTACGAGCAAATCATTACCAACAAAGAGTGGATCGGCGATGGTAACGATCACGTTTGTTCCTTGTGGGAAAAATTGATGCAAGCATACATAATCCCCTATTCTCCTAGAGAAGTCAATCTCCCATCACCCGTACGGGATCGGCTCATTGCCCAGAGCTGCTCATCCGTTCCTCCTCCGCCCTCAGAACTTGACGAGGCTGTTAAGATCGTTTACGAGCTTATGAACGATTCCGTCCTTCTTCCCTTCATCGAATCAGTCATGCCAAGTCATAGCACTGATATACACATGGAGGACGACATCAATGAGGCGCGGCAAGGCCGCTCGCGTCTTCGGATAGCCGATGACGCAGGTGCCAGGTCTGAAGAACCCAGACGATCTCCTAAGTTTCTACCTCAGCTGACTGTTGGACGTAGTGGAGCTACCAGCCGATCTGCTTCAGCTTCGGGTGAACACACCGAGCGTGAGGGACTGACGGATGATAGTGGAAGCGCCGCTTCCCCGGGTACGGAACCCATGACACCTCCCACTACCCCCCCAACGTCAGACTGGACTTTTAGCACGTCACCTGGAGGGTTTCAACGAGCCCTCACAGCTCACAATAATGGCTGGAAGAAAGTTGGCGCGAAGCTGGGACTCCACCGCAAGTCGCGCTCTAACCGTAGAAACAACCCGCCGTCTTCCGCCCCTGTCGATGGAGACATCACCATGGCGGAATCAAGTCAGAGCAATCCCTTATAGGAATCAGAGGTCATGCCACCCACTACATCCACCACTCCTGCGACGTCCACTTCTCACCTTCCTCTGGACGGCCTCTCTCGCGTCCGACATCTCTTCAATCCATGGGAGGAGCCTCACCCAGGCAGCCGGCTACCTCTGACAGAGAATAGCCATGAGTCTGAGAAGGTTGCGAACACTAACTCACGACACTTGAGTGGTGGATACAAAGGTGGCATGGCCGCAAAAGACGTCAACCCATATCATCATACTCGGCCATGGCTAGTGCGGCGCCCAATCCGTGTTCGAGCACGAATGAACACCCCGGTCCCGCTTAAGATCACCACCGAGATCTCTGAAGAACATGACGCGAAGTCAGTGCCGGTTCCAGCGGTGCGTAATATCGACATCCAGTCTCCTGCAATGGCTTCTCCCGCTCTACCTCCCCACGAATCTGAAGCCGAGCTGGAAAAGACCGATGTCAAGGTTACAGACGGTACAGCCGATGCAGTCATGCCGAGCGAGTTGCCTTTGCCTGCATCCCCGCCGGTCGACTGCCAATTTACCGACTTTTCTAATCTCCTTGGGATCAACGTACGGCCTCCAGCTGAGGAGACTGTCGCTGTAGCCAACGCTGAATCTGGGTCATATTGTCACGCCGCGCCCGAAGAAGACATTTACGGGTGGGATGCTGAACTTGACCGACAAAGCAAACAGAGCAGCCCAGCACTACCATATCCATGCGACCAGGAGTACCAGTACCGACGGACGAGCATGACGAAGCGTAGCCTCCTGCATCGTGTTTTCAGTATGGGCCCTGCCCCAAAAGACGTCAGCATTGAGGTGCGTCGGGCTAGTAGCACCTCTAGCTAATTACACTTGACGATTCAATACCTCGTCCTGGGGCACATCAGCCCTTGGCGAAATTTCGAGAACTTTCCCGCGAAGGATTGATACCATACACTCCACACATTTAACGGCGTTTATTTACATTTACTTTCGACTTTGTATTTTGGCTGTAAGTCAGCTTGGTTGGCGAGAGAGATATCATGATTGCATTATTCGGGAAAGAAAAAGGAATTCATAGACATGGGCTAGGACATCAGGATGAGGAGTTATTGTGGCATTTACAAGGCATGGCCTGGAAAATATCATGATGCATTGCGAGGAGCTTGGCGGGAGCGGTTTGTTTTACAGACATGGAGAAAAGCATTGTTTTGTTTCTCGGTTCTGGGTGGTTGGCAAACCTCACCAGGCCTGCATACTGGCATTTGGATGGCGAGACGAGGTTTACGACCATATCTTTCGAAACAGATGTATTCAATCACGTTATGAGGCAGGACATTAATGTTTTGATGACGAAACTGTATCGAATCTACTTAAACTGACTCAGTATCGTGTGTGAGCTTTGTTGTGCTAGATAGCGTAAACATCATGTGTACCAGTTACTTTTTGAGGTCATTTCATGCTGAATCCGCGGTCACAATAGGGATGCGTTTATTTTCTTGGGTTTTCTCGTGTATTCAGAAAATCCTTTCACAGAAGCCCGCCACATGGCAGACATTTCTTCCCACCCTGCGTCCTTTTCTGTCAATAAGTAAACCAAATCTGAAATTTCGCTATTCGTAATAAACTAACCAATCATTGTTGTCTAGCTAGCCGTTACTTGACAAGGAGTGCAGCCCAGTAGCATATTTCAAATGTAAATAACATAGGACGCGCACATAATGACTTAAACTGACTCTGCACCTTGGACATCTCGCCAAGTCCAGGCTCAACTTCCCCTATTCATCAACAGTTCCGTCATGGCGCGAGTACATTTTGTACTCCAATGAGCTCGCAAGGTCAATCTTACCCTGTTCGACCTGTTTCCTAGTAGCTGAGAGCATTGGCTTGGGCAATCCCATCGACTCGAGGAAGGCGACCGCTATAACATGGTAAGTATATCGGGGGGCTACGTTTTGAAAGAGAAAGCGGGCTATTTACTCTCTCGCCATTCCAGATCTTGGCGGCGCCTGTCCCATTTCAGCTCCTCAGCCATGATATCGATGATTTCTGGCAAGGCTTCAAGCGACGCCTGGGCGTTCAGGAACGCAAGCCGCGTACGCCTGGCAAGAACATCCACTGCTGTCTGGGCATACTCATGTCTAACCGCGTACCTAACTTCCCCATCCACAAACGGATATAATTGAGAGATGCGCTTGCCACGGGCGGGAAATCGCTTATCGGTGGGTCGGCACAATGCAGCGACAGACCAGGCGCGGTCACCATAGCTTTCGGTAAGGTGCTTTGCAACCTCAGTTTCGATGCCGAAATGCTGGATGATATTGATGAACAACGTCTTGCTGAAGCCGTGGGCCCCAATCAACCGGACCTCGTGGGATTTGCAGGTGCCGTCAAGAATGGCACCATCGTCAATGAGTTCTGTGCCGCTGATGCGAGGGGCATTGACGACAGGCTTTGGCTGCAGATTGAACTCACCGATGGCCGCGTCAACACATTCCTCCGCCATTTGTCGGTAAGTTGTCCATTTCCCTCCGGCGCATGTCAGCAAGCCCGATTCGGAGATATGGACAAGGTGATTGCGAACAAGGGATTCTGTGTTCTTGGCCTTAGGGTCCTTAACCAAAGGTCTAATCCCTGACCATGCCGCGAGAACATCGCCTCGTCTGACTTTGATATCAGGGGAAAGATAATGGCTGATCTCTTTGAGAATCCACTCGATGGATTTTTCATCTGGCAGCGGGTTCTGTGAGATAGATGAGGGCTCGTCGGTGGTGCCAGCAATTGTGTTACCCTGCCACGGCAGAAAAAATATGACACGGCCATCAGAGGTGGAAGGGTCAATGAGTCCCATATTCGAGGGGCTGTAGTATCCGGGTAGCTACCAGGACTCGCCATTAGTCGAGCGTAAACAATGAGGACACAATAAGCTTACAATGACATGAACACCAGAAGCGGGGCTAACAATGGCCTTGCAGTTGGGTTCATCCATTTTTCGAATAGAGTCAGTGAAAGGCCCAGTGCAGTTGATGATACACTTTGCTTTTACAGGAACATCTTCAGGTTTCTGACCATCTTTGCTGGCAACAAGATCCCTCACTGTAGCACCGCACAGCTTGCCGTTGGCATCTTTTTGGAGGCTAGTGACCTCCATATGATTAACCACTGTGGCACCGTAAAGGGCAGCTGTCATGCCAATAGATACGTTCATACGAGAATCATTGTGAGCGCCGTCATAGTAAACAAGGGCACCAACAAGATCTGTGCGTTTCAACATTGGGAAAGCCTCCAGAGCTTTGGATCGGGTCAGGAAGTAAGAGGACTCTATGCCCTCGCTTCCTGCTAGGAAGTCGTACGCTTTTGTGCCGGCCCAGTAGTAAGGTGCCTTCCACCACCGGTCAATGGGCAACATAATAGGAAGCCACATGCTTAGGTGGGGTGCTGTCTGCAAGAAGTACTTACGCTCCTTGAGCGCTTCCTTGACTAGTTGATACTGGGCATAGTCAAGATTCCAAACGGCTTTCTCAAGGTACCGCACACCGCCGTGGACAAGCTTGGTACTCTTTGAGGAGGTGCCCGACGAGAAATCGTCTCTTTCAACCATGGCAACTTTCAACCCCCGAGTTGCCGCATCAAGAGCAACCCCGGTGCCGGTAGCGCCACCACCAACGATCAAGATATCATATTCCTCACCCGGCACCATGGCGCTCTGTTTCAAAGCCGCAATATGCTCATAACGTGACTTGGTTTTGGGAAAGCGTGGAAGCTTGAATGTGCCGTCAGCGCCGTAGATAGGCGGTGGTACGGCGGCCGCTTCAAATCCGGGGATGTCGCGAGGCCGATAGCTGTAGTAGACAATGGCACCGCCGATCGTCAAGGCGCTGGCGACCGGGGCGATTCGGCGCAGAATTCGGGTACTGGAACGCGTAGCATGTGCCATCTTGCTCATGTCATCGGGTAGGACAATGGGCCTATCGAGTACACGGGTCGGAAATTGAAGATGACGTTTGGGCGGGGAAGGTCTTGTATGACCCTGTCTATTTCAGGCTGGTTAGCCCATCAAGAAATGCAATATGTGTGCGATGCTACAGTAGGTATGAAGACGTGAAAGGATGCTTAACTGAGTTAAAGCGGAGTAAATGAAGTCAAATAAAGAGGGCGACGAGGTTTGGGGTTAATCAATGGCAAAACCTCTTTTATCCAAGGTACAGTGACCTACATATTTAGGGAAGGGAACCGATGGCCTAGATAGTCAAACCACAGTTGAGAGTCCAGTTTCAGAAGGAATGGCTGGCAGCAGGTGGAAGCCTAGGCTATGTGAAGTTCATGCGAACTACGCCGTGTTCGTCTGAGTATGGAAGGCAGCCTGGAATTGCGGACAGCCGAGAGAGCTGTAGAATTGTAGCAGTGGGTAATGTGGGCGATCTGGGAACAGAACGCCACAGACAGAGTCGGACGCTGAACCGCAATGTGTGGGAGTGTAAACTTGGTTAGATATTACGACATACCGGGCACATGGCTCATCCCAAGGAGTATGAAGGTGTTAGCAAGGCATAACCATTAGAGCTAAAAGTGGTACATAACACCTGTGACGAGCTGGATCCTGCAGTGGAAGTGTTGGGGTTGTCCCCTCTCCTTCTAAGGGCGTCCCGAGCTTCACGCACCCCTGTCTTCATCTATTTCCCCAGACCAGATCGCTCATGTTGCCTTTGCGAATGCAGCTTTATACTAGAACTTGAGAGCCAAGCTCCATCTCCCCGCTCCTGTTTATCCCCCGCAGCCACTCACGGACCCCCTTGCGCTATCAGTGTTGCGGTCCTCCCAAGCTTACCCCCGGATGCGGCAAAGCTGACGTCAAAAGGCTGGACAAATCTTGGTCCGAGCCATATGTCCACCAATGGAATCCCCTGACTAGGAACGGAATCCAGTGGGCAAGCTTTGGCCCTGACAAAGCATGTAGACCCGTTAAGATAGCAACATGTGCAGATACCAGGGGCTCAAACGCATTGAACATGGCTTTCATGGCATCCGTTTCTGTGAGTGGCTAACATGACAAGCAATTAAAAACTCTTTCCAGTTGGTACATATATTTGTCATTGTGCTTACTCTATAAAACTTGTCACGGCCTGGGTATCGTACTTCTATGCTCTGCCAACCTGCATTATATATAACCTCCATGCTGACAACCAATCGACTTCTTATTCTTCCGAGAGTTCCATGATTAATACCGTTGAATATTTTAGGGGAAAAAAGCATCAACGGCTTTCGATGCAGATGGTAAAAAGCTCATCCACAAATGTTTGAACATCGTTCACCCTCTCTGCCTCAACGTTGGAGATTTGAATGCCACCGCCAGCATGAACCTTGGTTCTGACTTCAGCTGCCTGTAGCGTTCGCATCTCGATGCCTGCACCACTTGGGCCGTTGCCTCGCACCTCGTCCGTTGGGGACATGGTTTGTTCGCATGCGACTCCGTCGGGACTACGATTAGAACTATCGCTTTCCCCTTTGCCTACTAAGACTGGCGTTCGATGGGTTGTTTTGCTCGCATCTTGAGAAGTTGCCTGGGCGGAATCACTGGCAGTGTGCACTTCAACTCGAATTTCCTCCGAGACCTTTGGAAGTTAGATATGTACTTACAAGCCGAAGATGGATAACTTACCATGATACCGCCAAAGGGCGAGGCCTGCGTTGACGCTTCATGAGCCGGATATGCCAGCGGCGCGTCGAGAGTTGAACTCCCCGGCGATAAAGCGTCACTGCTACGACGTCCTGGCCAGAGCTTAAGGGTTGAGCTGGACTCATTCGAGTTTGTGGCTGAGGAAGATCGTCCCAGTACGGTAGGAATTGGGTTTCCTTCAGAATCCACCGGATAAGATGGCCCAACCCGACCGAGCCTACGGAGACGGGATGGGAGACGAGACTGTCCCTTGTTTTGCATCGCAGGCTTGGGCTTCTCTAGCGGGACAGATTGGATGACAGGTGCCAGTTCGCGGTGGACTGATTGAGTGAAGGCAAGATGCCGGGATGCATCACGCCCGACAAGCTGATGAACCTTAAAGAAGTTCAACGGGACAAATTCGCATCTGCTGCTGGAAACAATGACGTGAATGGGAATCACTAGGCGGAAAGTGATCAGGCTTGTTGGCTGGGATGGTGATCCCTCACCTGCGGCCTGGTTCTGTGGGAGGGTGACGACGGTGCTTGTCAAGATAGCTTCATCGAAGACTGGATCGTCAACCCATGTCCGCAGAGCATCAATGCCGTCGGTAAGCTGCGAAGCAAAGAGCATTTCCCGGGTACTCAAGTTGCTCAAAGAAGCTAGCCGTCTGCTGACGCCAAGCGTAGTCAAGTGATTAAGCTGCCGAAGCAAGTCCCCATGCCAGGGTTGAATACGGTCAATGGGCATCTGAACGCTGGGGAGCAAGTTCCGGGCACCTCGGCGAACCAACACATCGAATCCGTAGCCGCCAACGCGAGCGCGGATGCCAAAGAAGCTCATGTGGACGCCAGGTTCTAGTTGGTTATTGTCGTCGGCGTACGCAGCCATGTTCCGAAGTTTCGATTCAAGGTCCGGCGACTTAATTTGCATGCTGGAGCCAATGATGTTGCTGACCTGACGCAGTTCCGCGAAGCGGTAACCTGCGGCCTCAAGTCTTTCAATATCACGATCGGTCTGAACTCGGCGCACCAAAAACATGAGCGACCCACGGCCAAACTCGTGAGGCTTACGACGGCTAATCCCCTTCTCGGCAAAATCATCGGTAGTAGCAGCGATTTCGAGTTTACGTATGGTCCCGTCGGAATTTAAGACTGTGTCAACTTCTTGGATCCTGTTAACCTCTCGTCCTGGACGCTCTCCACCTGCGCCTGTTGGCAGAATTTCATCCCAGAGTAGGCCAACTGACGTCAGGTGCTCTTTCATCTTTTCAGCAAGACCGGCAGCAGCGACGCAAAAGAGTTCGCGGAAAATCGCGTCGTAGTTGTCAATCAGCTCTCCGTGTTCATTGATCAATTGAATGCCGGCTCGAGAATCACGGTCCCGGCCCTGGCGAGGAAGATGAGCCAGGTGATTGGCCATTCCGCCGATTAGTGTCGAGATTCCTGACCAGTTTCTTGACGCCTGAAACATCCAAAGAAAAAGGGGATGTGAAATGCTAAAATTGTCGCTAGCATTCTTCTCTAGGAAGGTATCGGTGATCTTTTCGGTGGGGATCAGTCCGTCAGGGTTAACAAGGATTCGGCCATGTTTGTCAAACACAGCTGCTGCCAGAACCACCTGTTGAGCTTTGCTGGCATAACGCCTCATGATCCTAGCGGTATATATGGCCGTTCCACCCATGACGAAGCAGGCGCCGATGGACTAATAAGTTTGTTAGAAAGAAGGGGCTTGACTTCATGGCCGTTATCAGCGTCGCCACTTACCAAACAAATAACAACTATAACCGTAGTGTTACGAGAAAGTTCATTGCTGCCAATATTGAGGCGAACAAGTTGGTACTCAGTGCCAGTGGCAGCACACCAATGCATGCCCGAGACCGCGCCTGCTAAAACCACCGAGCACGCAGCACGCTTCCACCACGAATTGGTCCATGCCGCTCTGAACACGAAGAAGAGAGCAAGTGCCACGATGCTGGCAGCGACGGCAATGAGAGCTGCGCCAACGACGTTGATCGGGTTGTATATGCAGATGTAGTTGTCAATAGAGTTGTTTCCAAGATAATGCATTCCACAAATGGCAGCACCAGCGAGTACACCTCCAATAGCCACCCGCCACCAAGAAACAGTATTATTGGTACCGACGGCAACGAAAGCTGCAAGGAGCACGGCGATGGGAACGAAGAAAGATAGAGCTGTGAAACCGCTGGAATAGGCGATTTGCATTTCGGCCTCTCCATCAGCGAGGTCAATGGCCCGGTTGCCAATGAAATGCTGTCTACTTGTTAGGCTCGGTAAGAGGTGCAAAAATCGAAACGTACCATGCACCAAATAGCGATTCCACCCATTGTTACCGCGGAACTGACCAAGAGCAAGCTGTGTCATATTAGCCCGAGTTGTTGGGGTTGGGTCAGGGGTTCGACATACTGGTTGAACTTTCCTTTGGGCGAAGTCCGTCTGTTCAAAAGCTCGAGAGTGGACGCAGCACCGATCAAGCTAACGGCGAAGCTGAGCGTGATGAAGCCTCCATTGAATGTTCGAGGCACAATATGCCCATGATACTTGGCGAACAAGTCTTCAGTTGTTGCAGACATGATGGCGACAACTGGCTGAAAGGGTCCACCCAGATCGTTCCGTTCTCGAATGTCTCTCCTTGGATGCGAAGGTCTACCGGCTTGTTGATATATCTTCCAGCCCGCGTGGCGAGTCTGAGAATGGGGGGCTGTTGGCCAAGATAAAGGGGTCAAGGAAGCTGACTTTTCCTTGGGAAGACCGGGCTTATCCAAGACATATCAAGGATATCAGAGTAAGACAGAGGTGGCGGAACGGGACCTGCGAACGCTCTGGCGCGACAGCGGGCAATTTCATGTAGCATCCCCACCGATACGAAGCATGGTTCTTACGGAGGACTAGCTGGTAGCTTTCCTTACGCTTTTTGCCTTCATTGGATGCAGCAGCGCTAACTAGTATTCAAGCAAGGATTTAGTTTTGTCAAGAGCAACTCGTAACTTATCGACGAGCCTATACTGTGCTAGGGCAAGGGCCGGGAGTGTTCCTGGACCAGCCTGAGCTGATTGACGCCAGTGGATGGGGAGAACGGTGGTTTACCGGTAGACCCGAGCTGATCAAAGATTAGAACACGCCTCTTGTTTCGTCTGCTCAAGTATCTCTAGAGTTCACATCCCTAGGCTGCTCGGACCTAGGCTCGGCCACGCAACTGTTCGTTATGGCTTAGCGTCTACTTAGGAGGGGAAAAAAAACATTTGTCGCAGTAGCGTGGCGCCATTCTCAGAAGCCCACGAAATCTCGTCGTAGGCTGATCCGAAGAAAGCATCGCGCTGTCATTTCTATGATGGCTAACGCGAGCTGGTTGGTTGGCTGAGAAGTTTGACAGAACTTTAACCTTGAGGAATCTCCACCCGGTTTCTCATAAGACATTGGCAAAGTGAAAAAGAAACGGCATCCCGCCATTTCTGGCTAGACCAACGCAGGGAAAGACGAGCTTTTCAGCTCATCAGCTTGGTGCATGGGAATGTCGCAGACATGCAGGAGAAGGTACCTAGAAAGCAGAGTTTTGTATTGCGGCAGTGTGACTTCACAGTAGAGATACAGAGTAAGTCACATGAGACATGGCATGACCAAAGGGAGCGACCACCGCTAGGTGTCGTTGCCCGACTTTCGGGAGCACAGGAGGACAACAGACTCGTTCAACAATGACTTTCATAAATTCTCAGGAGGCGTCGACTAAGCGACTAGCCCCGACGCCACTGATCAGTGTGTTAGAGCAACGGTTGGCTCAGGAATGCCAGCCCGAGCACCATTCAATCCCATTTGAACAACACCAACTTGAGTAATATGCAGCAACGGACAAGATGGCTCTGCAGCATAAGAAACCTCAAACTACTCGCAATGATACTTGGGGGCATACGCTGGCCTTGCCTGGCCTTGCCAGAGGTAGAGCTAGCTGCTGGTAACGACATACTTTAGATGAAGGGTTAAGAGTTAGTAGTAGGCGATGTCCATGCTTCCCTTAGAACAGATATAGGGAGGTAAGATAGGTTTGCCATCTAATTTTGTTAGAAAAATCGGACGAAATCCTATTGGTTGGTTGATCCATGATGTGTGCACCCTTTGACCGCCGAACCCGCTACCCAATGGCCCTTTCTTTTCCCCCTCCAATGCCACCAACCTGGACCTCAACTGAATACGGAGCTTTGAGTCCTGCTGATAACCTCCTCCCTGGTGCGTCAAAAGGCTAGCCTGGATTGTTTTGTTTCACTGAAAGGGCAACTGTGGAGTCAAAATTCTAGCACCTTTCCACGACGGCCCCCAAACCCTCGAATACAGCTCGACCGACTGGGGGGTTCCCACCCATCTCCACATTAGAGCGGTCCCCTTATCGAGATTAACGAAAGGATGCGGTTGTCCTTTGCTGGTTGATATCTATTTTTTGTCATACACGGATGCGAACTGATGTGTATCGGACACAGGGCGCGCTAGCAAGCGCCACAGAGGCACATTTAGCTCGTCTAGGCTACCTACATCCAGCAGGAGGCGCGCACAGGGCTACCGAGGCGCCTGTGAGCTATGCAAGCTGCCAAGTATACCGAGCACAATGTGGGTTGTACTAGTAGTAGCTTGGCAGGCCCTCCATGCGCAAGGCACCGTCATTCCTGGACCGGACTTTGACCCAGTCTTGCCCAAGACCAGAATATTTGAAAGTAAAGGCAGGAAGCAACCAGTGATGGAGACATATAGGAAACAACCCTAAGCCATAGTAAAGCCACACACATGCTTTACTGCCATGGCGTATCGACTCAATGCCATGGTCCGCTGTCAAGGTTATGCGGTGAATATACACTCGGAATCATTCCGTGACCCTTACGATCCAGGTAAATGATCCTTCTCTGATTCCCCGTGGGCGGCTCAAATGGGTCTTGCGGGGCACGGCAGGGGATTTGGAAGAAGGACGTAAGCTGAAAGAAAAGAGGAGGTCAAATGTCGGCTGTAAGACTTTCATCCGCCACTAGCAAGGGCGACGGTGACCCTGGATTCCAAGAGCGAACGACGGTGTCAGGCCACTCCATGACGTTCCCATTCTCGGGGTTCCCTCCCGTTCCCTCGCGTTGTTTCCTGTGTCAAAGATTGGCAAAGTATACTAGATAGTGCCAGACCAAGCATTACCTACAGACAGAACAGAGAGGTACCCACCTTGCCGAGGTTGTTCATGAAAACAACTCATGTACACCTAACTTCTGCAAGGTCACGAGTCTTGTGATGATATGGCTTCTTACAGCCAAGCGGTTCCTTAGCATTGCGTCCGGGAGCAGGATTCTCGGTTGACCACTCCCAATCCCCTCTTCTTACACTCCCAGCGGCGATCCATCTGCACTACGGTTTTTCTCACCCTGCGGGCAAGCCGTCGGTCGAGCCTTCCAACAGTATTTCATACCTATCATCAGCGGTACTTACTTCCCAACTTTCCTTTCTTACACATGAGATGTAAACATGCCACTAGCAGGGAGACTATTTGGAACACGGCTGACCGGATTCATCTGCCATGTGGTTGTGACACCTGAAGACCAAATTCGTCTCTTGAAGCTGAGAGAATATGCTTCCCCTAGTGAAATGTAGTGGACGTTCTGATTCATTTAGTGCCATTGCTAGGGGATGGGAAGAAGAAAAAGTCATTCGTGGGCTTTTATCGACTTTGAAATGAGTCGAGCTTGGAAAATTTAATCAACTAGTTGTCGAACGTATTGGTAGTATCTGTGAAGATTGCAAAATGACCAGCCAGGTCTGCAGAAAGCCAAACGTCTTGATCCGTAGCTTCTTTGGGTCACTCCTTCTATCGGAGCGGGGTCAGCCATCCGAGATATCCTGTTGTCTTGGTGAGCGCCGAGGATTCGTCTCCTAAGCTAATGCTAGATCCGCGCAAGGTCAAAACCAAACGACGGCGTGCAAAACTTGTCCAAATATGGACACCAGAACCTCCGGGCCTTTCCGTTTTATCCCCCTTTATCTTCTTTTCCTCTCTTTTTCGGAACAGACTCCGATGCTTGTTTGATAGAAGTCGACCACAAAGAAACACAGGCAAACCACTACGTCAATCTTGGATCCATTAGGCGATCCCTATTCGGGCTGGAAGGTGAAAAAAAAAAAAAATCGCCTCGCGTGACTTGCCACTACAGCAGGCGACGTAGATGCCGCCCAGCAATACCTTTTCAATGGGCATATACTTCAAGCGACAACCCGAAATTTTGAGCCTGCTTTTGCATCGCGGGGACGCCGCCTCGCTTCCTCGGATCAAAGATCTGAACGGCAAGCTTTCCGAATTGGCATCTGATCCAAGAGCCTACGCAAGTTTCACTTCCATCAAGTAAGCCACTGTGTAAGGTGCACCCTTAGCCGAACGATCGAATTGCTTTCTTTTTTTCCCTTCCTTTTTTTCCCCTCTTAAATAAGGAATGAAACTTGCCTAGAATCTCCATTTACTAAGGTCAGAGATTATTCTGCAGGTCAATGTGGTCGTCTATTGTTATACATAATGTATTACAGCTGCAATCACTTGTAAAAAATTTCTTCTTGGTGTCACTTAATTTGAATGCCTTTTTCTTTAGGATACCTCTGGGCAGGACAGAAACAGGGCGTATCAGATGCTCCGTCGAGATCTAGCAAACTCAGCACGCAATGTGTTACAAATTTCAGGGCCGCGAGTATGCGACCAGTTCCTGCTGTACAACTTAGTCAACAATTTAGGACAGTACATCAGTTAGAAGCGGAATCGTATTCCGAGCCTTAAGTACCTCTAGACATGTAATGCAAACACATGCTTTGCGGTTGATAGTTTCATAATGCACCCTAAAAGCTGTTCCTACTGGTTCTTGAGAGAATAATTTGAGATGTCGTCGTTTAATAGAGCTGTGCACATGCGACTGATTCCGGACGTTGAGGCTGAGTGTGCCGTACCATCTTGTGGAGATCAGCGCAGAAGACCTCTTCGTACTGGAAGAACGATTGCCCGCGTTTCTTCTAGTCTACGACAACGAGGCCCGCGGGGCAGAAACCCCTGTAGATGAGTAATGATCGCATTTGCAAAGCGGCATGGTGGGGTGTTGCATCACTTAAGTTGCTATCTGCACCTGCATTACATCGCAGTTTGAATGCATCCAATCTCGCGTGTGCGTGAGCGATTACAAAGTGAACAACACCTATCGTTGAAAGCGGGTTGCATTCCACTTTTGACCAATCCCCGATTCTTGGTGACTGTGTTATTGGTTTGGCTTGTTCCCGCGGCATCACAGTCTGCAGTCTGACAAAAACTTCCCAACGACCCCGCCGTCAAAAATGCCTCCATCGGCGGAGGCATCGCCGCCTTCAACGGTTCAAGTCCTTCCTCTCCCGCCTTTCAAGCCCGATCTCTACGAACGCGCCTGGTGCTCGGTGCCGCACCCAACATTGCCACTTCTCGCGACTGCACACTCCAAGTCAGTAACGGTGTACTCGTTATCCTCTCTCTCCTCTCATAGCACTCTGTCCGGCGGCCACACCCGGTCCGTTCGCTCTGTCGCTTGGAAACCCAACCTTCCCCCTCACCAGCTCTGCCTTGTCACCGGCAGTTTTGATTCGACCGCTGGCCTGTGGCGCTGGGATGGCGAGCTGCCGTTCTCCGGTAATGATTTGGCCACAGAGTCCCTCGAAACCGACCTCAGTGCCCCAAAACGCCCGAATGGGGATGGAGATAGCGACAGTGAAAAAGACTGGGAGTTCACACTGGTGCTAGAAGGTCACGATTCAGAAATCAAAGGCGTTTCTTTCGCACCTTCTGGCGCATACCTTGCCACCTGCAGCAGGGACCAGACAGTATGGATATGGGAGGACGTGGGCGTTTCGGAGGGTGACGACGAGTGGGAGACTGTCGCGGTGTTGAACGAACACAACGGCGACATGAAAGGGATCGCGTGGTGCCCTGACGTCCCTGGGCGGAACTCACGAAGGAGATACAGTGCTGATGTCCTTGCAAGTGCCAGCTACGACAATACAGTTCGTATATGGCGAGAAGATGGTGACGGTGAGTGGGTTTGTGTAGCGGTGTTGGAAGGCCATGACGGTACGGTCTGGGGAGTGCAATGGGAGCAGAAGCCGAGGGCGGACAATGGGTTCCCAAGGTTGATGACGTACTCAGCTGACCAAACAATACGGATATGGAGTTTGCAGGAGGAGGACGATGGGGAGGATAGTGCCGGTGCTGGGGCAGGCCTACGGTCGGGGCTTGGTGGCATTCCCAATACTATGAGAAGGTCGCTTCGGGAGGAGTGGGTATGCACCGCCATTCTACCCAAAGTTCATACGCGGGACATCTATTCTGTGACGTGGAGTGCGGCCACGGGGCTATTGGCTAGCACTGGTAGTGACGGTGTGGTTGCTGTTTACAGCGAAAATGAGGACGCGGCAGTCAATGATACCACGCTGAGCAGCACAGAAAATGGTGCTGCGGGCGCAGAGGAGAAGGCCGCTGCAGTAACGGACGGAGACACCAAGAAAGCAACCATCGATCTGCCGGTGGACTCGACCAAGTGGCGCGTGGAAGCAACTGTCCCGAACGCTCATGGCCCGTATGAGATCAACCATATTACCTGGTGCAAGAGATATGATGCAGGGTCAAAGAGCAAAGGGGTAGAGGAGATGCTGGTCACGACGGGCGACGAAGGACTAGTTCGGCCATGGCAGGTTATTGCATCGACATAAAAATAAAGCTGAATGGGCGGCGAAGGTGTCGAAAGCATGCATATCTAGATACAAAATGGAAGCCACCATCAACCTCGCTGCCATCCATTCTCAGTGCAAGGGAAGATGTGTCTGCAGAAGAGAAGGCTTGCCATGATAAGTCAATTAACCTGTAACGAAATGCCAAGGGGAAATCAAACTTGAGCCGGAGCCTAACTAATAACGCTGCAAGTGATGAAAGATTAGCATCTTGCCTGCGTATGCAAATGTCATCTGGATATTGAGTGCCATGATTTGTCGCAAGATGCTGTCAACACAGGCTGAGCCACTAAGTATATTGTGGCTCATGTCATGGTCGGAGTACACACCAGCCGAATTTCGTGGCTTAGCTCCTAGGTTTGTACTTACTGTACCTTGTTAATTGTAGTGAGGCCGCCCGCTACGGAGCCTGGGGCGTTGCTTGGATAGATGGGGTGCAGGAGTGGGTAAAAGGGGAGCGCAAGGTGAGTGAAAGTTGGCGTTATCATTCAGCAATTTCGCTGAGGCTGTGCCAGGCTGTCGTCAGCGCAGGGGAAAATAAAAAAAGACGAATGAGGAGGCAGTACTTCACCACCTCTGCTCACGTCTCCAGTCCTCTTTGCCTGTTGAAGGCAAATGAAGCCAATGGATCGAGCCGAGACAGCATCAGGGCACTGTCACCAGCTGATTCCAGTGACTCCACCGCCAGCGGCGTTCAAAGACGAGGTCTAACCCCCTTCCGACACGCATCTCTGGCGTTCTGTCCTGTCCATTTCCGACCCAGAATTGCTGGAGTAGCCATTAATAGGATAGGCTCTCATGTGTACCCAATTCTAAAGTGCCTCTCACCGCAGCCTCAGCGTAATACTTGGTCAAACTTTTGATATCCATGCGTCCGTCCACCGCCTGACAGTACCAACCATACCCTACATCCTCTTCCTTGAGTCTTCACCTCGGCCTAACCCCCTTCAGCCTTTGTTCACCAAACCACGTCGCCTCATATTGGCTCTTTTGTGGTTCCGTTCTTCCCTCTCGTTGCATGTCTGTTCGTTCGTGTCCGTGTCTATAGCTGTCCAGGCCTCGAACAGAAGGGCAAGCCAGACGGTCTAGAGCCTGGGCCCCTCCGCAACCTTATAAGACGACCCTGGACTCCTGGGGGGCCACCCTCTTGCAGCCAATACGTGCACCACATATCTATACATCAACACTGCACCCTACCCTCGTCCACTTCCCCCCCTCCCCCGCCGCTCCTCGCGTTTAACACATCCGTCGAACTTTTCGACTACTTCCACACACCGTCCCGTCCGCCTCAGCATCTACTCTTCTTCCCTCCGCCATTCGCACAACCCGGCGACTTCCAATCACACTCTGATGGCAGGCCCGACCTCGCCGGGCACAGAGGGCCCCACGTTTGCCCCGCCTCAGCTCCCTGCTGGCTGGATTGCCCAGTGGGATGGCTCGAGTAAGAAGTACTACTTTGTGCAGCTTTCCACCGGCGTTTCTCAGTGGGAGGTGCCGACCGACGCTGCCCCGACCGGCGCGACTCCTTCTCAGCCTTCCGATCATCCTTACGGTGTTCCTCACCCCGAGCTGATTACCCATCCCGACGGCAGCCAGACTGTGCGACACGCCGACGGCACTCTCGAGCCTGTGAACCCGCCCATGCCGCCCGACAACACAAACACGAGAGGGATAGATGGTCCAACTGGAGACCGTGGCCTAGGAGTATGTTCTTTGTTCACTGCGATCCCTTTGCTTCGCGAGCTACTCGACCCCACACGTGTTTGCTATTGATCTTGCTCGGTTACTGACTCGTCTATTCTTAGAGCATGGCCATGAACGCGCTCCTCGGTGGCGGCAAGAACTCGGGTCATGGCTCGTCCTCAGGCAGTCATGGTAATTCGTCAAGTCCCCTCGGCGGCCTTGCGAGCCAGTTGATTAGTGGTATTGGTGGACACGGTAGCAACCACGGCGGCAGCGGCAGCAGTGGTGGCAAGAGTTCCCTGGGCAAGATTGGAGGTGCGCTGGCCTCAAGCCTTCTCTCTAGCGGAAGCAAGCCGCAGCAGGGACAACAGGGGCACCAGGGCCAGCAGCAAAACTACCAAGGCGGCCAGTCCTCCAGCCATCAACAGCATGGTGGCCTTGCTGGGTCTCTCATGGGTGGTGTTGCCAATATGTTTGGTAGCGGCAAGCAAAGTCATACTGTATGTCTCTTAACATGACAGGATACCTTACAGGCGAAGGACTAACATTTACTCTCAGGGTACCAACTTTGGATATTCCAACAACGCTTCCGGTGGTGGCGGTTACTCCGGACAGGCTCCGCCCACTTCGTACCAGCCGCCTGGTTCCTCATCGCACAACCAGCACTCGTCTTCTTCAGCAGGAGCGTCGTCTTACCACTCGCCTGCGCCTAACCATGGGCAAAATCACTCGCAATCCTTCCCGCCGCCGCCGAATCAGTATCCTCCGCCGCCGAGTCAGGGCCAGCCGAACCATAACCCTTCATACGGGGCGCCGTCCCAACAGTCTTCTAACCAGTCATACCCACCTCCACCTACCGGTGGCCCTCCTTCGTCATATGGCCAACAGCCCATTTATGGTGCTCCTCCAAACCAACAACACCAGCAGAACCAGCAACCGCAGTACGGAGGATACAACCCGGCAACCTATGGTAGTGGTGCTCCTCAGGGCTCCCAACCAGGAGGCTATCCCAACCAGCCATCGTACTCCAGCAACCCTTCGCAGCAAGGGCCGGGCTATGGCAACCACTACTGAACGCTACTCACAGCAGGGTTCCATGGTTGTTCAAGAGCCTTGTACGCAATGATGCGATTTTCAGTACCTCTCGCGACAATCCGGGTCTTTGGACTTTTGGTCCCCGAATAAGCCTGCTTAGGGATTTCAACGGGCAGACATACGAGGAACTTACCCAGAGATAGTATATTCCCCTTTTGCATGGTTGACTTCCTTTGGGTGAGAGATGCACAGCAAGTGGTCAAAGATGTACGGCGAGATGGTGGTGGGCCCGATTTGTAGACAGTTGGATTTTGTTGTTAGAACACCTTTCGTTTCGAACAAGACATGAATGCATGGAGAGAAAGGCGTATTACGATACTTTCGTGCTTACAACCTTTTCTTCTTCTCAGGCTTGCCATCAGCGGTAAGTACAGGCTGAATCCAAATAAGAACGAGCTTAGATAGAAACCAGGCCAGCACCGCGACAGCAACAATGTACAAGATAGTTGGAAGTAGTGACCTTGGCAAGGCATTGAACACATAAGGATCGAGTATGACGTCGACATGGACGGGCTGGACGTGGGTCATGAGCCTGGCATCGTCCGTATAGTAGTCTGCTGCAGCCGAGATCCGAAGGAACAGAAGTGAAGTTTCCGTTTCCTGTTCAAGTGATCGCGAAACTTTGCCCTCGCTACTATAGTTTAGGTCGGGTTGGCGGGAGAATGCATATGTCGCGAGTGAAGAGATCAGCTCGGGCGTATCCCAAACAACCGGCAGCTCAAAGACGTTGAGAGAGAACATGGTAGGCTGCTGTAAGATTGTAAGCATGGGTCTCTGTGATAGCAAAGCAAATGCCATCTTACGGTGGCTGCCCAACAAACTCTCAGCTCATATCGCTGGTTCTGTGTGAGGTTTGTGAGCAACAGCCAAGCCACCGTTCCTGAGGGAGACTCGTGAGTCGGAAAAGAAGCTGGAAGATCAATCCTCTTGGACCACTCATCGGGAGTCAGAGCATCCAAGCGGAGATCGTCAACCGTGGGCGGTGTGGCCGGTACGTTGACAGTCTCTGGCCCAAGAAAGATGACCTTCTCAGTATTGGCCTGAGCAATGTCGATGCAGATTGCTAGACCGAAAATGAGGGATGGCCGCATGCTAGGCAATAGTGCCGTCCCAAGATCAGCGTCGGGACAGAAACAGTAGAGATTGTTGTCGAAATACGATTGCCCAGTGTAACCTTTAATGAGTGATGAACTGTAGTGATAAAGCCACTGTGGTAAAGTGGCACAGTAGCGCTGGAGAGGTACTTGGCAAGGTACGTATCACTTCAAACAGATCACGCAGACTCGGAAAACAGGATGAGGGCGGGTGAATTATACAGGGGTCTAGGGATGAGTGAATGACATGCCCGTGCCCCTGTGAATTGACCTCGCTTTTAGGGTGCCTGGAAGAGCTCCCATTTTGTTGTGCTCGTTAGGCTTGCATGAAACAAACATGAGTATTGAAACATCAGGGCTGGCTGTCATTCCCGCCGCCATGGTTCATCATTGGACCCGTTTCCACTATTCACCACCTCAAGATTGAGAGGGCTGAAGACTGGCTTCTTTTGTGTGCTACCATTTTGAGCTTTGACCAAACCATTTATCTTTCCACAAGATGGTTGGTGTTGAATGTCATTAATAGGTGAGGGAGGTCATGAGGCCCTCCCTTGGAGTAGAAGCATGGCTCTGCACAGCATCCGAGATAATCACCTGGGAATGAAATCACTCTCCCTGCCTTTCAATTAAACGTCAATTTAGGGCCAAGTAAGTAAGCGAGACCGTGACTTGCCTCTACATACGCCTCGTCTTGCAAACAATACGGGTTGGTTGGTGCTGGTCTTCTTCAACGAATATGTTTATGGCTACATCAAACCAGACCCTTTCGTACTCTGTCTTGACATGTATCTGCACATGAAGCAGAGCAACACTAGAGAGGGACTTGAGGGTAGACCAATCTCGCCGGAGTGAAGGGTAAGGAATGGGTCAATTGCATCGGCCTCAGTTTTGCCTCATGCATGGCAAACTGTCACTGCCTGGTGTCCAGGCTCACAGCCAGCGAAGTGCGGTGTACTAGGCCTTTGCCCACCTGCGAATCCAATGGCTGCCCTGTGCCTGCCAAAGAGGCTCCACTAGAGAGCCAATAAGACCCCGGAGCAGCCGTGATCCGCTCATCTCATTTGCCAGTCATGCTCACGACAACGGGACGTGAACAACGCGCTTACCAATTCGGGGACCCTCATATCAACAAAAACTCCTGCACGGCCCCTGTTGCGCGCCAAATTTCCCACCCCACCCCGAATTTGACTACCTGAGGAACCCAGTCAAGGACTCAGTAGCACCACCAAAAAAGAGGAGCACGAGCCCAGCACCTGGCACCACCTATTATTCTTTCCCTTGTACTTGCCAGGTCTAACCTAACCTTTTCCACCTCCTGTCGACATCCTCTCGTGATAGCTGCAAAAACAACTTTTTTCTTTTTTGCTTGCTCTCGACATCCTGCGGTCCTGTCTATCTCCTCTACTTCAGTCGCTTGCCTCATTCTTGTCTAGACGTCGCCATCATGCGTGAGGTCATTAGCATCAACGGTAAGTTGTGTGTTTTTGTTTTGATCTTCCCTGCCCCCACGCGTCGGTCTTCACCGCATCGTAGCCCCCATCTACATTACAAGCTGAAAGACGGCTATTGCCGTTGCCTACCACAAACAACAAGCTTTGGTCACCTTGGAGATATTCTTACTGACTCTGTCATGTAGTCGGCCAGGCCGGTTGCCAGATCGCCAACTCCTGCTGGGAGGTACGTTAAAGGGTTTGGTGTCGCTTAGTCGACCTGGGTCGACTAAGCTGCTTGTGCCAGCCAACATCGCCATTGCCTGTACTTGCGCTGCCTTGTCGATAGCTGACTCTGGTCTCTATGTAGCTTTACTGCCTTGAGCACGGAATCCAGGTATGTCATCAACCCGCCAAGTCTTATGTGCTTTTGATTCTAATGGACTTCTGCTTCCAGCCCGATGGATACTTAACCGAGGAGCGTAAGAAGGCCGACCCCGACCATGGCTTCAGCACCTTCTTCTCCGAGACTGGTATGCTTCATCTAGAAAAAGTTGATGGTTTTTTCTATGTGTGCTGACAGAATCGTCTCAGGCCAGGGCAAGTACGTTCCCCGCGCCATCTACTGCGATCTCGAGCCCAACGTTGTCGACGAAGTCCGCACCGGCCCCTACCGTGGTCTCTTCCACCCCGAGCACATGATCACCGGCAAGGAGGACGCCTCCAACAACTATGCTCGTGGTCACTACACCGTTGGCAAGGAGCTTATTGACCAGGTCCTCGACAAGGTCCGCCGTGTCGCCGACAACTGCGTTGGCCTCCAGGGCTTCCTCGTCTTCCACTCCTTCGGTGGCGGTACTGGTTCTGGTTTTGGCGCTCTTCTCATGGAGCGTCTCTCTGTCGACTACGGCAAGAAGAGCAAACTTGAGTTCTGTGTCTACCCTGCCCCTCAGACTGCCACCTCTGTCGTTGAGCCGTATAACTCTATCCTTACCACCCACACCACCCTTGAGCACTCTGACTGCTCTTTTATGGTCGATAACGAGGCCATTTACGACATTTGCCGTCGCAACCTGGGTCTTGAGCGTCCCAACTACGAGAACCTCAACCGCCTGATTGCTCAGGGTAAGTTCGGGACAATGGCCGCATACCTTGCGGTATCAATCACTAACAGTTATTGACAGTCGTTTCCTCCATCACCGCCTCCCTCCGCTTCGACGGTTCCCTTAACGTTGATTTGAACGAGTTCCAAACCAACCTTGTTCCCTACCCCCGCATCCACTTCCCTCTGGTCGCCTACGCGCCCATGATCTCTGCCGCCAAGGCCGCCCATGAAGCCAACTCCGTCCAGGAGATGACCATGTCTTGCTTCGAGCCTAACAACCAGATGGTCAAGTGTGACCCCCGCCATGGCAAGTACATGGCCACCTGCTTGCTGTACCGTGGTGACGTTGTCCCTAATGACGCCCATGCTGCTGTCGCCACGCTCAAGACGAAGCGTACCATCCAGTTTGTCGACTGGTGCCCCACTGGCTTTAAGCTTGGTATCTGCTACCAGGCTCCCCAGATGGTGCCCAACGGTGACCTTGCCAAGGTCAGCCGTGCTGTGTAAGACATAACCCTACCATTTGCTCATTTCGCAAATCGCTGACCATCTGCTTTAGATGCATGCTCTCCAACACCACTGCAATTGCTGAGGCTTGGTCCGCTCTGTCGACCAAGTTTGACCTCATGTACTCCAAGCGTGCCTTCGTTCACTGGTATGTCGGTGAGGGTATGGAGGAGGGTGAATTCTCCGAAGCTCGTGAGGATCTTGCTGCCCTGGAGCGCGACTACGAGGAGGTTGCGGCCGATTCCCTCGAGGGCGAGGATGGCCTTGAGGCTGAGTACTAAGATGTGGATATCTCGATGTTGGATGCGGAGGAAGTCACTGAGCAACCTCTCTATTCGTTTCGGGGTGCTGGCTCTGATGTCGTGGATCTTTGCGTTCAAGCAGTCCTACGGGCCGATGACGTGTTTACTTCAGTTGTTAGAGTGAGAACAGAATAGCCAACTTTAATGCTACGGGGATGAATTAGACTTGTGTTCTCATGATTATGCCAGTACTTAATCTTGATTGATAGACCAAATGCGTCTTTCCTACTGGTGAAAGGCCTTTGCCTCCAATGAGGATGGGAGTGAGTGCATGAACAAGTATCTTGGCAATCCGCATGATCATTTGCACAATTGCAGTATGCAATGGATGTAATATTCAGTAGTGAAAGTATCCTAGTGATGGAATAAGACCATGTTCGCCCTTGTCATCAACCGTCAACCAACCCAAGTACGGAGCGGAGATGTCGGATGTGCAGCCATGCTGGGGGGATGGTGTCTGAGCTTATTATGGGGCAGCTGTGCCTCATTGACAGAACTGGGTACGTACCTAAGTCAGGTAGGTGGCTTGGCCTGCTTGCGAATTATCAGCCTGAAGACCTTCCTAGTAGAGACCATTCAAACCCCAGCCCATCCATACTCTACGAACAGCATCAACGCAAGCCACCTTCTCTCTTCGCCAGGCCAAACCTCTGGGAAACAAAGGGCAGGGCCATCATATGTGCATAAGGTATTATCTACATCTACTACAATCAATACAACAATCCCTCTTCTCACCCATAGATCTGACTTGTTGGTTACCGTGTCGCCAGGCTCACAGTTCATCCACCCAGCCCCCCGGAGGCCGTATTGAAACGGACTACGAACCGACCGACTCTAGCTACCGAACTTTGCGACACCACAACCTTTTCAGAAGGGTCTTTACGCCGCGATAATGTCTGCTGACGGCGCTGATGCAGGTGAGTCGGCTATGGCAAAGGAATCTGGCATGTTGCGCGAAGGTGAATAATCGCTTGGTGCTGACGACGGCATTATCTCGCAGCTGCGCCAAACCTCAACCTAACTCCCGATGAGAAACGCCTTTATGGCCAGCTCTTTCGCCAGGCCGACTCAGACAGTGTTGGTGTCGTGACCGGCGAAACCGCAGTCAAGTTCTTTGAGAAGACCCGTCTCGATTCGAGAATACTAGGAGAAGTGAGGATCGACCTGATTTCTAGTAATCGAGAGTTGTACTTGAGGAGCTAACAACAGCCACAACAATAGATATGGCAGATCGCAGATAAGGAGAACCGGGGGTTCCTTACTCCTGCTGGATTCGGCATCGTTTTGCGACTCATTGGACATGCACAAGCTGGACGGGAGCCAACGCCTGAGCTGGCTCTTCAACAAGGCCCGCTGCCACGATTCGACGGCATCACTCCTGCAGGCCCTCTCTCATCCCCCACGCCTCCGCCCCCCGCCGCTCTCCAGGCCCAAGGCACTGGCGGAGGCCCAATCCGAATCCCTCCTCTCACACCTGAGAAAGTGAACCAGTATGCCGGCTTGTTCGAGCGCCAGGCACTTCAGGCTGGCAATCTTCTCCCTGGAGACCAGGCAAAGTCTATCTTCGAGAAGTCGGGTTTGCCAAACGAGGTATTAGGTAGAATCTGGCAATTGGCTGATACTGAGCAGCGGGGAGCTTTAGTCTTGACGGAATTCGTCATTGCTATGCACCTGCTCACGTCCATGAAGACTGGTGCCCTCAGGGGCCTTCCGAATATCCTTCCAGCCGCCCTCTATGAGGCCGCGACACGTCGCGGGCCTACGGCGCCTCGACAGTCTCCCACAAGCACCGGACCGATCTCTGCCATTCCAAGACAGCTGAGTGGATCAGCCCAATTCCGTGCAGGCAGTCCTCTCGGGCGCCCTCCCATCACTGCGCAGACAACTGGCACACCTGCAAACGACTGGCTCATTACTCCCGCCGATAAGGTTCGGTTCGATGCACTCTATGATGACTTGGACAAGTCTCGGAAGGGCTTCATTACTGGCGAGGAAGCTGTCCCCTTCCTGAGTCAGTCCAACCTCCCTGAAGATGCTTTGGCACAAATCTGGGATCTCTCCGACATCAACTCAGAGGGTCGTCTGAATCGCGACACCTTTGCGGTTGCAATGTACCTCATCCGGCAGCAGAGAAGCAGACGGGATGGTTCTACCACTCTCCCCACGTCGCTCCCTCCTAACCTAATCCCACCCAGCTTCCGGTCCCAGACACGGCCTACTACCTCCGGTTCACCTTTTGACGCTCCGCCCCAGCCCCAGCCTCAACCCCCGCCTGTTTCTGCTCCCGCTCCCGCTCCTACGTCTGCTCTCGACGACTTGTTTGGCCTTGATACCCCACCTGCCCCTGCCCCTGCGCAGGTTGCTCTATCCACCGGTGGCTCGACAGCAAACGATCCCTTCGGGTCTGGCTCGGCTGTCTTGGCTCCTTCTTCCCCTATCCGACCCTCACCTACCGGAACTCAGTTCAAGCCCTTTGTACCGTCCTCTTCTTTTGGTCGTGGTCTCACAGCTCAGCCCACGGGAGATTCGAACTCCGGCAAGCCTCCTGCTATCGCTGCTTCTGAAGACCTTCTTGGAGATGGTGATCCTGAAGTCAGCAAGAAGCTAACCAACGAGACTGCGGAGTTAGCAAATCTATCCAACCAAATCGGATCGCTGTCTAAGCAGATGCAGGAGGTCCAGGGTCAGCGTACGACTACACAAAACGACCTCAACCAGGCCAACTCGCAAAAGAAGAACTTCGAGCAGAGACTAGCGCAGCTCCGTACAATGTACGAAAAGGAAGCCAAAGACGTGGAAGCTTTGCAAGTGCAGCTCAATACATCGAGAAATGAAACCAAGAAACTTCAGGCCGAGTGTATGACTCTGGACGGCGCCTATAGAGACCTGCAGACTCAGCACCAGCAGATTCAGGCTGCACTACAGGCTGATCAGCAGGAAAACGCAAGCCTGAAGGAAAAGATCCGTACTGTGAATGCTGAGATCGCTCAGCTTAAGCCTCAAATTGAAAAGCTCAAGTCCGAGGCTCGTCAGCAGAAGGGACTCGTTGCCATAAACAAGAAGCAATTAGCAACAAATGAGGGTGAGCGCGACAAACTTCAATCCGAAATAACAGATCTGTCCAAGGGCAACGAAGATGTGTCTAGACAAGCAAATGCCAGCTCCCCCGTGGCAACATCAGCCCAAGTTGCAAGCCCAGCACCGTCGACTGCCAGCGGGAACAACCCATTCTTCCGTAGAACGGGAAGCACCGATATCATGGGCACCTTCACTTCGCCTCCGCCTGCTAAACCTTTCGGTGGTGACAAGTCTTTTGACGATGTCTTCGGGCCCGCGTTCCCTCCTCCCGTATCAACCAGCACCCCACCACCCCCTACATCTTTCAAGCAACAGCACACCGGTGCATCGACTACTAGCTTGGGCTCCTTGCCAGCTCATCCTGCTCCCACCTCGCCCACTGCCAGCCACCAAAGCAGCCTTGCAAATCAATCTCCTGCTCCGCCAGAATTGAGACAAATCAGCTCGAGCTTCTTACCATTCGCTGATGCTGCCGAATCTCTCAGCTCTTCCCGGGCTGTGTCTCCTCCTGCTTCTCGTGCTGAGGGACCCAGTGAAGCTCCTTCTGCGAGCTCACTGCCTGGCGCCTTCCCCGTCGAACCCACAGCAACTGGACAGAGTGCCACGTCGACCTCTACCAGTAACACAGAGCCTGCAACCCAGGCTGATGTGAAGCCGTCGAGCGACGAAGCTGCGGCAGCACCCGAACACGCTTCCACAGTGCCGGCAGACACGGCAGGTTCTGACCCTTTCGCAGCCATGGACCAGAACAAGGCTAAGGCTGATTTTGACAATGCTTTTGCAAGCTTTACGAGCGCGCACAAGAGCTCGGACAAATCTGCTGCTGACGGAAACAAAGCCTTCTCGGCGTTTGACTCTGAATTTCCTCCCATTTCCGAGCTTGACCGCGAAGAAGACGATTCCGACAGCGCGAGCGAGCGTGGCGGCTTTGATGACGACTTTGCCCCATCGTCCCCTCAAGCGAAGAAGATGGAGGCCCCTACAAGTGCCACGTCTCCTCCACCTGTGACTGCAGCCGTGGCGCTTGCTCCTGCCGATGAAGCCTCTGCGACTACCGTACCAGCCTCTGGGCCTTCGCTCGCCCCTGCTGCCTCCGTTACGGCTACGGAGACTCTGACGAGCTCGGAAGCTCGGGCTACACAGCCATCGGCACCTAAGACTCGTTCCTCTTTCGATGACCTTGAAGATGATTTCGAAGGCCTCGAAGATGCGAAGGAGGGCTCTGCCGACGACGACTTCCAGACAATTTCTAGGTCTGGGCTTGATGATTTCAATCCTGTTTTTGACAGCAGCCCCCCTCCAAGTCAAGCCAAGACTGAATCCACAGCTTTTGGACACGAGAGCAGTTACGATTTTGGAACTGTGTCGCCTAATCCTGCCCCTAGCAGTAACAGCGGCGCCGCGGCAAAAGAATCAGCAGCGCCCGATGCACAGGACTGGGATGCTATTTTCGCCACCCTTGACTCGCCGAGCACTGCCAATGCAGACAAAGCCGCGGCGGAAACCCCTGTTGCAGCCCAAGAATCCCGACCTACCCCGGGTCGGGCTCTAACGCAGGGGGGAGAGCACGATGATCCAATCTTGAAGAACCTTACTAGTATGGGCTACTCTAGGGAGGACTCTCTGCTTGCATTGGAGAAGTATGATTACAACCTGGAGAGGGTAAGTTGATATGTGCGAAACCTGCTGCTATCTGGTCCAAGACTGATTTTATGACAGGCTGCCAATTATCTCGCAAGCCAATCCTAAGGTCGGTTAAGAAATGATTGAGAAGAGCTGAAAAGCGCAACTGGATTTCCTTATGGGAGGCAGAGTGGCATCAAGCCCATGACAGCAAGCGTGTTAATTTTCCCGCTTGGCCTAGACGAGATACCTCGATGTTTTGAAAGTCGTTCATCCTTTCCTTCAGCCAGGCCACGTTGCACCACTTGGAACACATTGGACCTTGGCACTTAATGTGTATGTAGGATATACATATTTGATTCAAAGCTAGCAATTTTCAGATTTGTTGTTGCCAAACTCTCGGGCGCTTTCATATGCCGCACACAGCTCTGAGGTAGCTCATATGAGTAACGGTACAGCTTCAGCAACAGTTAGTGACAGGAAGGGGCTCGAGGCATATGCTATGTGTGTAAAATGTAGTAAATTTGGAATGTGTACACCACAACAAGCCCTGTGTCGTTTTCATACGAACTGTAAGAAACAACTCTTATCTGGTGATTTGTCTGTTTATTGTTCACTTCACACTCCCCTGAAGCAGGGAACTTGTCGTATATGAAAACTTTAGTCATGAATGAATCAAATGTTTTGCCCCCATCCCATAGTTTTACTGTCCTCCCATAGCCCTAACTGAGAGCGCGGTGGATTGGTCTCTCTTCAAGTGAACAGTGACCAAGCGGGTTTTGAAGTGCCGCCTTGATTGTCACATCTAACCCTTGGATTCGTTCGCCTATACGAACGCCATATCTGTATCTAACCGGCTCTGTACGTGCCTGACTATGCCGGCTTCAGCTTCCTTAAACTGGGCAGAGGTTACTCCGTGTTTGGCGACGTAGACGCACTCACCAATCTACAGATGCTTTTGTCACGTATGAGTCCAGCGCCTTCCGCAGATAGGAGAATTGCTATTGACACTGCCATAGTTATCATCCCAGCCATGACACCATTCAGCTGCCTGTCACTTCTTCTCAGAATGAACTTGCCTCCTTCTCTGGTTCTTCATCAATGCAACATAATTGCTCCCCCTAAGAATCCTGCCTTCAATGCAATCCAGGTCTGTATCACTTGACCTTGCTCATGATTGTTTCAGGACCCCTATTAACCTCAATTTGCGCTGCCCGCCCTTTGACAGCATTCAACATACTCCGTTCAAAGTCGTCACGCGAACGCAGCACCGCCTCAACCCAGGTCATCTGCAAATCCCAGTAAGCGTTCTTGAAGCTTTCGAACGTGTCAGGAAGGGCATCCTTTTCAACTGTGAGGAGCTGCAGGAAGTACTCGGTGACACGCCACGTCTGCTTAACTGAGTTCCCAACGTCGGGGTTAGGTAAGGCACTGAAGTACTCGAACGCTATGGATATGTCGTTGAAGAGCTTGTCCTGCAACGGGTCTGTGCGTTTAAACTTTGCGCCCTTGTTGCGCACCGAAGACAGGTAACGGATAAGCAGCTCATCAGCAAAGATCTCGGTGAAGATATCCACAAGAGAGTGGTGCAGCACCTGGCTGTAATCGTTGACATACTCCTCGAACGTCACTACCATCTGCTTCATTGCTGTGCTTGTATACCACTTCGGAGTGAAGAAGTCGGGCATGACCAGTTTGAAGTCGACAGAAAATATGAGCTGGACAAATTTGGTAATGCACCATGTACTGAAATCCACGTAGCCGTCGCGCAGCAGCTCGACCTCGCCCTCGGCCCGCTCCATGTACGCCGGCGACACAAGTGGTTCGAATTTTTGTTTGAAGTTAGACAGGTACGCCAGTCTATTCTCCTCCTCGTTATCATCAATGCAAGCAATTTGGTCGTTCGCAGTTGCTACAAGCCAGTCTTGAAGGGGCTGAAATCCTTCCAGCTCGGGTATTTTCCCGGTCTCATATTTGGTGGCTTCTTCGTCGAGCATCTTTTGCCACGATTGTTGCCTGCCTCGCAGTCGTAGGAACATAGCGTCAATGACGCCCTCGATGACGTCCATGCGCTTCGAGTTGGCGGCTGCATCGATCTGCTCTCGTAACATGCGCCACATGTCGACAAGATTTTTGGTTCGAAAGTATCCGTACTCATCCTGGTCCAAGTTTGAGCCCTCGACATTGCGCTCAGCGAAGTCCTTTTGCTCGGCATTGAATATTCGCTCAATCCATTCGTCCAGGAACTTAATGATGAGTTGGCGGAAGTCTCGTACTAGCTCCGTTTCTCTGGAATCGATGACGTGCGGTGCTAAATCATCTTGCTTGAAGCCCAGCTTCTTCATCTTCTTGTAATATTTCTCTGGCCAATTGATAATCTCTAATGTGTTGGCAGAACTTGATTCAGGGTCGTCAATCATACCGACCAAAAAGTCGTGCATCGTTTGATGATATATATCACCGTATGTCTTAAGAATCTTCCACTTCTTAGGCATCAATGGGGTCATGCCCATCTTGACGGCATTCAGGTCATTGAAATACCATTTCAGAATCTTGTCCAGTGCTGAAGGGTCGTCCAGAAATTCACCTCTGGCTTCAGCGAATTGCCCTTCAACACTGATCTTGATAGCCTGCGTGAACTTGTCCTTATAGCCTCGAACCTTTTTCGCACCGTCGGTGATACTCTGGAATCTCGTTGCCATCTCCTTGTGATCCTTCAATGCTTCTTGTAATGCCAGCACCCTCTGGTCGCTCTTCTCCTCTGCCTCGATGACGACAGCGAAGCGCACCACCAGCCCGTTGTTGTCATTGACAACCAAGTTGATCAGATTTAAAGCCAAAATACCGATGTGCTCGTCGAACCAGTCAATCATGGTATCCAACCTCTGGAAGTAGTCCTCAAGCGTCGATTCCAGACTTGGGTCCTCCGCTCTCTGGATTTGTTCCATAGCATCATCTCTGATATTCCTCAGCTGCGTGAGCTCGTAGTGTATGGGCAGCAGGTTGGGCATGTTCTCCTTGTCGCCCTCATCCTCGCTTAGCATCCGCTCGACGATCGCCAGGCGCTCGTTGAAAGTTTCGAGGTTTTTGCGCATGGCCTCAACGGCGCCAAAGTTTCGATGTGCCTGCGATACAAGATTGATGCTGGCAAAGTCCTTGATCATGTTCTGTGACTCTGAACACAGGCGATCGATCTTGATCATCTCCTCCTTGATTTGTTGCACTGTCTTTTGACCGTCCGTCAAGCCTGTCATGCCTGACTGAGTCGTTTCGAGCTGCTCGCGTAGACCGCTGCGGAGCTGAGAGTCGACGGCACCCTTTTTGCGAGAGAACTCCTGCTTGAGGCCAGCAATCTTGTCCAGGTCGTCTGGATGGCGGAGGAGCTCCGCGAGCTTCGGCACGGGCGCATCCATGGTGGGCTATCTAGCTGGCTGGCCAACTTCTGCAGTTTATCGAGTTTCGATTATATTCGGGTTTTACGAAATTGACGTAAGGAGCGGGGGGTGTTCACGGCCTGTTCATAGTCGTCTCGCGGAGTGGGCGTTCAACTGGGATGTCATCGCATTGCGCGCCGCGACCTGGGTGTCGTGCATGTACATAGTTCACGCCGCAATGGAAGTACTAAGCGGGAAAGGGAGTGAGAAGAACATGGGTGGCGGTGCACAGTACTCAGCCAACCTGGCGGCATCTTTAGTGGGGCCAGCCTACCTGGAACACAGTACTTCTTTCTGTTAGAGACTTTAAAGGACCAAAGTAAGGCAGTTTGAAATGTCGCGATTGATCAAAAAGTTTTACTTGAATATCCACGGCATGCGTTCGGAAAGAGTGGTTTTGGTATATGAGAGTCGGGAGGGGAAACAGATCATGGTTCGTTTGGTATCTCTTCTACAAATTCTATGCGCCCTCTCAGCTGAAGCACAGGTAACTCAATGGATAGTGATCCGCTCAAAAGGTTATAAGGTGGTATCCATCTACAAACAAATTCCACCAAATGAAAAGAATAGCACAAAATCCCATTACTCCATTGATTTTCCAATCTCACTCTGCCAGCCCTCTGCCCTCTCGAATCCATTAGAGTGGGTCTGATAGTCCATGAGGGCCTGGTATACCTCAGCCTTCGAACTGAGGACAAATGGACCATACTGCACGACCTCCTGATCAAGCGGTGTGCCGGCGATCACTACAATGCGAGCGTCCTTTTCGGCACCGGCATCAACCTCAATGTTGACTATATCGCCGTCTTGCTCGAACACAACATTGTGGAATTGGTCAACAACGCGTTGTTGGGCCCCCGCGCCAAAGATACTCTGCCCTTCGAGCGTATATGCGAAGGCGTTCCATCCTTTGGGAAGTGGCTGAGCAACCTTGCCGCCGGGCTTGATCTGAATGTCGAGGATCCAGACGGGCGTGTAGGCTAGGTCACGGACTGAGTCAACGCCGTGACTCTGGCCAGAGATGACCTTAATGTGGACATTGCCCTCGTCAATGTCGACTGTAGGGATTTCCTTTGCACGCAAGTCGCGGTAGCGCGGTTCACAGGCTTTAAGATGCTTGGGTAGGTCAACCCATAGCTGAAGACCGACGTTGGCACTACCGTCCGGGTTCTGCTTGGGCATCTCGGCATGCATAATACCCCTGCCCGCCGTCATAAATTGCAAGTCGCCGGTCTCAATGGTGCCTTTATTGCCGGCAAAGTCCTCGTGGTCGACACCGCCATGAAGCAGATAGGTGATAGTTTCCTGACCTCTGTGAGGGTGGTCGGGAAAGCCCGAGCCAGGAGAGATACGGAAATGATCTTTTGTTGAGTTAGCAATGGGTTATGAGTCGCATTATCAACTAGATCGGGCACCTACCGAGCATAAGAAAAGGGGAGAAGTTCTTCAACTGGGGTGTTCCGATTGAGCGGCGAACACGGGCACCAGCACCCTCTGCCTGCTCAACGGCCAAGAATACCTTGCGAATTGCACGAGGAACTGACATTTCGGTGGCGTAAAGATGGTCGTCTATTTGTGTTTTGGCCGTGAAGCCTAAGATGTTGCTCTTCAGGTTGGAAGCCCTGTTGGCAGTTGTAGTTGCGATATCAAAAAATTCCCGTCTAAAGAAAATAATCGACGATATTCCCACGAAGACAGATAGCAAAAGTGCCAATGACTTCATTGGTAAGTGATGAAACTGGGGATGGTATATATACAAACAGTTGCTGTTGACAAAATTTGAGTGAAGTGGATAAATGGAGTGAGAATGGCTGGATGATATTTCTAGAATCCCAAAGCTCAGTTGACTAATAATATACAAATCCTCCCATTCTTTCCCCTCCACTTGAGAATGGTACCCGAAGGCGCGTTACCTATCCATCGTGAGGCCGCCTTATTCGCTTTTCCGGCAAGCAGCCGGGATTAGTCAAATTTACATCAGCAATGGAAAGCTAGCTCAGCAATGGTTCAGCACAGTCTTTACCTACCGGAATGTCGAATGTGCCCCACAGTGATGAGGTAAGCTCAGCTGGTATGCGGTCCCACCTACCAAGTTCTCCTGGGAGGATCCTCTCCGGCCAATGGCGCCGAAACCAGCTGCTCATCGCTGACATATGTTGTTGTAAGGAGTGATAGCTAGATTCCTGAGGGGCTCCAATATGCGCACCTACCCAATCACTCAGTGGTGATCTTCCCCAGTTACCTTGTCCTTGCTACTCCTTGTTAATCTGATCTGAAGCCTAGCAAGCTTGCTACACTAACTAGCCTAGCATCGAAAAGAGCATTGAGTTTGGCACCCAACTGGCGCAAACACCTTACACGTACACGAGGGCGAGGTAGTCTGTTCCTTTTTGCCACGCCCTACCCTGCACAACTGCTTGCCCACTGCAGTAGTGCTACCGCTGTTAGATGGCGCCCATGGCCCCCTTTCGAGCCGTATCAACGGCGCCGTGGCGACGCAAGAGGCATTTGTTGGTTCGTGCTGCCCATTCGTTCCCAGCGCCCCAACAAAGAGGGCCACGGCTCAGCGTCACGTCACACGGCAACTATCAGATTAAAACAGATCCGAATATCTATTAATTTTGACCCTTGTCCCCAATTCCTATACCGACTCCAGCACTAAGGAATCCTAAAATCATCTGGTCAACAACCTGACGCTGGTCCAGAACACGTCCGGTGGTTGATGATCGATACCTCAACTGAGGAGTTCGACGTTCAGAACATACCAGGCGTGTCGGTGGTGGCCAAGCTCGACCAGAAAGGAAAGCGCTAGCACAAGTGGCCTGGGAGGGCCGTAGCGGCGCGTCAAAAACGTCACCTTATACATGTTCGAGTGAAACAAACATAGAGAAAACAAAAAGAGACAGAAACAATACATGAAGCCCTTTATCCGAGGTATAAATTCTGTTCCTTGCTGTATGTCGTTGAAGCGTACGCCATCATGACTGCGACCCAAGAACCCAAGGATAGTTCAAGAATATCGCCGTGGAAGGGTATATGAAATAGAGGGGAGTCGACTAGCCTTCTGCACAAGTACAAAGTCAAGTACAGATGCAGTTACACGGGGCAGAACGTCGGGCTTAGTTGTTAGCCTTCTCGTTCACGACATCTTTAGTTTCTTCCTTCTTGTGGTGAATGATGTCTCCAACCCAGATAATGAGTTCGCTGCTGGTGATAAGGGTGGTGCTGACCAGGGCCTTGCTGTAGGCCACCAGGTTGTCGCCGCCAACCTTCTTCTTCTCCTGAGCGTATGTCTTAAAGACGTGATCCTTAGCCTCTAGACCGGTGCGGATTGGTAAGGCTATAATGGCCTTGGCGCCAGCGACCAGCTCCTCAGTAGGCTTCTTAATGACTGGGACGCGCTCCTCGACTTTGGTCAGAGCTTGGTCTCCGAGAGCGTCGGCTTTCTCGGCATACGGGCGCAAGTAGCCCCAGGGGCGACGAAAGTAGGGAATGAAGGGAACGGCAAGCGTTTGGTAAACAGAATCACTAAGGGCGATTGACTTCTTGCCATAGGGGTTGTTCCTGAAGGCAACAACGCCATCATGGAAGACAGGAATATCCAGCAGGTGCTGCGTGAACTGGTTAGCAACAGGAGGGCCAAAAACAACATGGCAAGGCTTTGAAGGGACTTACCTGAGCAGTGGCCGAGTTGACAGCCGGGAGGTCGCCGTTGACTTGGGCCATTTTGGACATGTAGGCGGGCGGCTGGTAATGTGTTGGGTTGCTGGTCGAAGATGTTGCTTTAAGAGGGCGAATGTTTATGGGCAGTAATGATAGGCAAGGTATAAATCGTGATCGAGAGCTTGTAAAGGAAATCTCGTGATAGCTTACTTCAACGAGGTGCGGGAGGATGCGGGAAGATGTGTAATGGATGAGGAGGGCGATTGAGATTGGGGTCGAATCAGGTCAGATCAAGACAATGTATGACGGAAAGATGGAGGTAAACGGGTGAGTTGTCTGAGCAGAAAGTGTAGAGTGCAGGTGTTCTCTGAGAAGGTTGGAAAGGGAAAGGGCGGGCAAAAGGTTTTGGATGTTGGGGAGAGGGGAGGTCGAGGGAGGGAGTAGTCAAAGCTAAAAGGGAGAGAGCAGCTGGAACGAGACGAGCTTGTCTGCAATCAATGCAATGGGTGGTGACGAGGTTGACGCCACAGATGGGCATGGACAGAAATGAAAGTATTTATCTACCTCATCTTTTGCCCGCCTTGTCTGGGCTAGTCTTGTCTGAACCCCTTGGGACGCAAACTAGAGGGATTAGCATGTGCTTTCGTCCACGTTCACGGTACGTCCTACGACTATGTCGAATGGGAGGAAAGCGACCAAGGAAGTCCGCAGAAATGCGTGTGATGGTGGGGCATGGGCCAAGTATCCATACCCGTAAGGTACATGAGCGCCGCATATCAGAAGAGATGCGGCTTCTGATGGGCGCTGTTCCTCTTGAAGTGGCGCTTCCATCCTCTGTCTTTCGGCTCTGTGTGACTGCCCCCTATAATCTTTTTTTCCCCCCCGCCCTTCCTCCTTCGTCACTCCTGTCCCTTTGTCATTGCGATATTTAAAGGTTCAAGCCACCTCCCCCCATATACCACCAGTCACGACTGAGCATGAAATGTAGCTATCCAGGGCAGCTACACGCACCTTCTCCTTCTTAATTTCTACGAGTGTACATGGACAATCGCGACCATTCGTTGGGACTGATGAGGTGAGGTACGGTATAGTAAAGGTACTCACCCCCCAGCAACGGCATCAGCATGAGCAGCAGCTTGCATGCTTCGCTATCATACCCCTGGCTCTTGACATGTGAAAATGGGTTGTCGCCCCGCCATGTGGCCAAGACGGAATAAGAAAAGAATGAAAAAGAGGGTCCTGCCGACGACATCGGTGCACTCGACTTTTTATCTCATGATAATTATTTGACAATTACCTGATACCACAATGCAATTTCTTATTATGAAGCTCTTTCTAAACCAAGCGACATACCGGTCTCTTACGGATGACCAGGATCCATATTCATAGCCAGGCCTCGGCCCAATATACTATAGCCTAGGGCAATGGAAGCACAGGTAAGGGAAGGTCAATATTGTACACTTCTTGCTCCGCTGCTTGATCTCCTTCTCCCCGCAAGGCAAGGCACCTTGGGTTTCGTCGTTGGATAATAGTTGGACCAAGCGACTGCGCAAAGCCAGGAAACATAGCAGAGGCGTGTACGAAACGCACACTCTTTGCTGCACCTGAGCGGACCGCTATTATGTCATCAGAAGATGGAACCAGCAAGTTTTTTCACGGAAGTGCAGATATACTGAGAAAGGCTGAGCTAACATTGCTTCCTTTCCCAAGACTTCAATTATCCTGTAATTGCCATTCGATACTTGTACCGGCCATGTGTTTGTTTGACAGTCTGTCGGGCAGTCATTGATCTGTGCTCCCGAAAACGGGACGGGCGGCGCTCAGGTCCGGGTGACATGGCAGATGAGGGGGGGTGGTGAGCCAATCAGCCCCAAGTGCCGATTCACAAGCATTTTGCAAACCTAACTTCAGCACCGTCGGTTTGATTACCCTTTTCCTCTTATTTCCTCCCCCTCCTCCTTAGGCTATTTCTGACCTTTTTATCTCTTGAGTACTGGTTGTTGTGGAAGGAGGTGACCTGCACCTTGCGCCCCAAGGTTCCTTCGCCAGGGATGTGCTAGTATTTTGTGGCTAACCCAATTAGACCTTCCCTGAGCTTATCGCTCCAGACCCTTCGAACCTTATCAAAGGCGATTCAAGCCAACGGGCTGGGCTGACCTACGCTATAAATCATAGCGCGGCACAAAGAGGGACTTAGTCAACTGGGGTGAACCAGTCAAATATAGGCGTCCGATCTTAGTGGTTGTTGACAACCCTGGAGCAGCTCGCTTTGATGCCATGCTACGTAACCCGGCCTTTCGCCTACTTCCGCCTGGGACGCCTCTTGATCTCTTCTTGAGGTAGTCTCAGGGTGACTTCCCCCACGCAGCAGTGGCTCTCTGTCTTCCATCTCTTTCTCGTCTTGAGTTTGACGAGAACCTCCAACCAATTTACGTGCTTGGAGAAATTGGGGAAACCACGCGCCACGACGCACATAACCTTATCGCCCCACGAATTGCACTACTATACAACCTACCAGGCCAGTGTCTACACATTTCGGCATGCGAACCCCGTTACCGCGGCTCTCGTCAGTTATAAGGCCCACGTTCATCAGAGCTGAGCGAACAAAGTCGAACAGCACCTCGGAAGCGATACGTACGATGCCCACCTCGAACCTCGTCGCTACACGTATTTTCCTCCCATGCATGACTAGCCAATCATCTCTTGCCGTTCATCCTCACTAGCCTTTCAACCGGAATCAATGGTTGGCCATTCAATGTTGTCAGTCACGATATGCATCGGACAATTCGACGTTTTAGCGGCAAATTTCAGTGTAACCCTCGTCCCTTGATTGCATCACCAAGCTCCACTGCACCAGCCACATACGCCCACATTCACATGTCAAATACCACGTCGATAAGTTCCACAAGGGGGACGCATCCTCCTCAACGTTGAGAGCCCTTCCGCCCACCTCGCATATGCGTGCCATTGATCTCACCATTTGCAGCCTGCATTCGTGATTGATCCTTTCTCCGTTCACTGAACGGAATACTTCAGCGGGAAAGAGCGACTGAGAGCCTCTAATGTCGTGTTGATTTTCGGGTTCATTAGCTGTGGGCTTTTTGCGTCTCGTGTCTGCAATGTATTCTTACATGCAACCTCTCGGTCTCTTATCAAGAAGCTGATAGGCGAGAATTCGCAAGCTAGTGACTCAAGAGAGACATTTCATAAACAGGTGCGGCATTTTCCTTTCGCCCTTCCATGATGTTTATAAACTGGAATGCCAGTACATGCAGGTTTCCATAGCTAACGTCAAGACGGAGGAAGAGGAAGGGGGAGGAGGGGGAGCGGGTATGAAAGCCCCTGCGTCTTGTGTGACCTCTCAACACAAAACCGTGTGCCAGCCATTATGTTTATTGGGAAGGAAGTGACCATTTCTGTGTGAACAGCCAATGGTGAACAGTTACCTACATGGGCCGAATAAGCGCTTGTTGATTGAGATGCGGCAGTCATGATCTGTTGTATTCGGTGGTGGACTAGCTGACCCAGATAGATGGCGGGTTTCTCCCACGCGTTCGAACAGCCGGACTACAGCACCCGTTCCCGCCGTCTGAATGCAACTTCGCAGCCGATGTCCGCAACTTCCCGTACAGAGAGGAACGGATACTGTAACGTCCGAATCCGGTACCGATATAGAGACCCGCATTTTTTCAATTTGCGGACCGGATCCGGGTCGGACTACGGAGCGGGATCTGCTCAACATGGTGAACAAGTTACTGGTCAGTTGGATAGAAAGATGATTAGAAGCTGGATATTCAAAGAAGTAAGTGGCTATGACAGTGATTTACTGGTCCAGCTGCTCGATAAAGTTGGTGGCGTAAACTATTGTGTTGGGCTTCAAGCAGCAAAGGAATCCGGTGCGCCATCAGGTCGGCTGTATCGGTCTGAGATGGCGGTTAAGGAAACCCTCATGTAACGCAAAAACCGAGGCTGTTTTGAAATACACAAAGAAGCGCGTATGAGCCAAGTTTAGGGTTCGGCCCAATGTTCGCCAACGGGCGTGGTGAGTCGTCAACATGTTTTGCTATTCAAACAGCCACCATCAGCTATTTTTTTTTCTTAAACGATGTCTCCACTAGCCGACAATAGCTCATTGACTTGGTGTTAATTGCCCCTTTCAAGATGGCACTTGGCCCTGCTCAGATGCAACACGTGGGAGCGCAGGAAACCACGGGGCACCTACTTGTCGAAGGGCTTTTGTCAACTCATCCACACCCCTGAGGTGGTGTAGCAGGTCAGTCCGGCTGAGCGACGGCGTGACGGCACTATAAGGGCAAATCATTCTTGAGAAATACCCGCAATCTTCTAAGCACCCAGTGTCACCCAGTCTAGTCACCCAAGCGCGCCAGCTGATGAGAAAGACGTGGCAACCGCCAGCGTCGGTTGCCAAGCCTCATGGGGCTGCAGAACGGACAAACTGTGCTAGTGTTGTTCCCCTTATTGTGTCCGTGTCTTTATCATTCCCAAGTCTTGGCCTTGTTCCATCTCGGTGCTGGATCGACGGTTATCGGACATCGTCGGCAGCGGCTCCAATGTGGAAAATGGATCGAATCACCAAACTGCAATACAAGATCCGGCAGGGGAGATGACACGGGAACACGAGATGAATTAACGAGTATTTTTATGGGTGATAAGGTCACCCCGAGGTGGAGAGTGTGATCGTCCACTTACTTACTGCCAGCCCGGGACCACAATGGCAATGACCCGAACGTTTTTGGCAAGTGTACCGCTAAAAAGGGACAGACAACTGATTGCTAAAGGCCAATCTGTTCGTTGTGTTGTTGATGAGCCAATATTGAGTCCTGTTTAAACCACGTTGATTTGGTGGTACCACAGCTTGTTTGTTAGTATATTTCCATCGGCGAATTCCCGCAGCATTGCTCTTCTAGAAGGACCGCCGCCGCCGAGCTTAATCACCAACATGTGTGTGGGGTTTTTCATGCGCCTGATCTTTTAATTGACTGTGGATTGCAGTTGTCGAAGACTCACTCTACTTGAAAGGAATAAAAGGCTTGGAAGAACAGCCTACGGTG